GTTTTGGATGATGGTTTGTCCAAGACCATAGTGTTCTGAATAATAAACATGAGAGGAACTCCAGGCTTTTTCTTCACCTTCATAGATAAATTCTGGTCCTGTTAAAAAGAAAAATAGTTCAACTACATTAAGTAAGTCGTCTTTAGTAGTTTCCTTGAAGACAGTTATATTAAAAAGAGATACTGTATTTTATTTTTCAAATCAGTATGTATCACTAAAAGGGTGTGTTATATGATAAAAGGAAAAAAAAAACTGCATTTAGATAGCGTACAGAGCAGCACTATGAATATTTAGGGTAACAAATTAAAAAGTAACACAGGGGCTGGGGAGATAGCTCAGTAGAATAAGTGCTTGCCTGGTAAGCACAAGGGCCTGAGTTCAATCCCCAGTTCTGCCAAAATAAATTAATAAATACTAACAAAACAGCAGAGTTTTGGGGAGATGGCTCAGTAAAATAACTGCTTCCCTGGCAAGTGCAAGGGCCTGAGTTCAATCCCCGGTTTCGGGACCGGGGAGATGGCTCAGTGGAATAAGCGCTTCCCTGGCAAGCGCAAGGGCCTGAGTTCAATCCCCAGCTCCGCAAAAAAAAAAAAAAAATGAGGGTTCATTTTAACGAATGTAATCACATATCGCAAACACGTATTAATAAAAATAACTTTTAAAAATTAAAAAAAAAAAATCCCCGGTTTCCCCCCCAAAATAATAATAAATAAAAATATGCATAGGTCAATGTGTTAGGAGGCTTCCTTTGCTTCGACTCTTTAAGATACTCATTGTATAAGAAAGTCAGGTGTGGTGGCACACATCTGTAATTCCAGGACTCAGGAGGCTGAGGCAGAAGGATCACCACAGAGTCTGAAGCTAGCCTAGCTGCAAGTGAGTTCAAAATCAGCCTGAACTACAAAGCAGTATCCTATCTCAAAAAACCAAAATGTACAAAGAGGCTGAAGAAATAAAAACTGAGTGGGAATTAGGTGACTCAGATTATAGCTTCAGTTTTGCATCTATGTGATTTGATAATTCTGAAAGCATATTCAGACAAATCTGTATCTATGTAAACTTAAGAGAAATCCTGGGTCTCTTTTCTCTTGAATCCTAATCTTTCGAAAACCTAAAACATTTCATTCTAAAGCCTACAACATTCCATTTCCTGTGCCAGTCTTGAGGAGACGAGCCAGGATTTTTTGAGAAATACAATGAGCTACACACACATGAGAAAAGGTAAGAAGCACAGAATATAAAATCTATGCTCTACTCATCTTCCTTTATGAATCATAAAATAAATCACATCTCTCTCAATTATTTCTCATTCTCAAGAAAATTTCAGTTAATATAAAGAATCTTAACATACTTGAGGTTTTCTGTTCATATTATCAAGACACAAATGCTTTTATTGACTGCAGATTAGAAGTTGTACTTTTAAAAGTCTTGACATTTAACAAATCACCTCCACTTAATATTTTTCTGATTATAAATAGTGTCATGAAAAACACAGAGGAATAGTCACAGTAGAGTATCACCTGTGTTGCCACAAAATAATGGTGAGGGTTTCCCTCTTCAACCATGGAAAGCAGACAGTCAGATCCACTCACTGCATTCTTGAAATGGGGACAGTTTCGAACTTGGCATTTCTGTGCAATTAGTTTTGCCCCATATAAGTCCTTTCCCAATGTTTCCAACTCCTTTAACACACATCTGGGGAGGAGAAAAAAGGCTATTAGTGGCCAACAATTATAATAAAATTTCTTTGGTTTACATGAAGCAAGTATAAAACAGGACACTCAAATTTCTTTTGAAATGTAGAACTGTACCACTGCAATGTGAACTTGTCATATTGTAGCCATTTTACTTTCCAAAAATAGACTTGGAAAATAGCCATCTGTAATCACAGCATTTGGGAGGCTGAAGCAAGAGGATTAGTTGAGAGTTTGAAACCATTCTGAGATACATACAAGTTCAAGGCTAGATGGTGAGATCCTGTCTCAACCAAAATAATAGTAAAAAAAAAAAAAAGTACCAAGTAGAAAGACCAATATAGATGCTAAAATTTACTGATCATATATTATGTGCCAGGCAGCAAGCAAACTGCTCTACACATAAATTCTTGTATAATCTCAAGATAATACATGAAATTGGGTGCTTACCTTATAACTATTCTTATTTTGGAGGACCTCAATTTGAGAGATTTCAACTAATATGCTCAAGTACAAATTAGTAAGCTGTAAAACTGAGACCTGAATCCAACTATTTTGATAACAGATTCCTTATATCAACCACAAGGCAATAAACTTCTACATCAAGCACAAATTCTAATATTTTCAATTCAAAAAAGTAAAATTTGTCAATTCATCAAATTATTTAAAAACAATCACAAACTCATCTCAATCTGTACTTTCATATCAACACAAGGCAATGTTTCTCAGAAATATCATGCATGAATGACACATGTCACAATGAGATAGTGATATTAAACTGTTTCTAGGTCTGCTCTCACCCCAAAATCTGCACCTCTTAAAAAGAAGCCCAACACAGCTTGCCCTCCATAGACTCGGGGAAAGAAACAGTTCCTGGTACCCCACCAACAATTAAATCTGGAAATGCTCTAAGTCCCTTATACAAAATGTCATATTCTTTGTATATAATCTGCACAATTAGTCCTATACATTTTATTTAAATATTCTGGATTATACACATACCTAATACTCTACTCTACAGCATAAATCATATGTAGTTGCAATACTCATGGTTTAAGGAAGAATGGTCAAAGGTCATTATGCAATTTTTTCCCCCTAATACTTTCCTTTTCTGCAGTTGGTTGAATCCACAAATGCAGAACCAATGGATGTGGAAGGCCAATTGGATTAGTGTTTTAATAAATTTCCTGAGATACTTCCTGTCACTCACTTAGAAAACAATTGATGAGAATTATTGAGTCAACGATTTCTTAAACTCTGCCAGTTTTGCTAGATCCTTCCCTGCCTCCTCCCTTTTATTACTTTATGGGTTTGTTTGTTTTGGTTTTTTATATTTGGTACAGTATCTTGCTATGCAGCTCAGACTCCTAGTGATCCTCCTGTCTCAGCCTCCCCAGCCTGGGATTATAGGCGTATGTTACCACACCCAGTTTTGGTAGCTGGACGTCACAGGGCCAGCAAGGCTTGTGATATTGGGGATCGAACCTGGGTCCTTGCACTTGCCAGACAGGCACTCAGATCGCTGAACTATCTCTCCTTATGGTTTTATAAGAAAAAATATTTGACTGTTTTTCCAGTTACCAGTTTTAATCCATTTCTAAAATTATAGACTATTATTGTAGACAAGGGTGACTTGTCATTAGCTCTTTAAATGTGCCAAGTTCAAAGTCCAACTACTTTGTTTCTAAACTCCAAAGCTTGCCACCTTTTTGAAGTTACTACTTTCTCAGAGACCTTAGCTTAGAAAGAAACCAGAAACTGTACTCAACCTTCTTCCTCATCCCTAATTCCCATCAGTTATTAGTCCTATCTATCTCAGTAAAGTCTCCTTATAGAAATATGGGTGTCTGTCTTTTGTTTCCCAGATTCAAATTCCCACAACTTCCTGACTGGGAAACTACAAAGTAAATTTGCTAGTCTTTGTTCTTTCACTTTTCCAATGTACCTTTCATGTTACTACGGATATCTTTTCTAAACAGGTGCGCTAACATTCTGTTGTTGTTCTTTGTCAATTAAGTAAAAGTCTCTTCAAACCTAAATATAAGTAAACCCTCTAGACAAGTGGTGGTGAAACTATGGCATGCACGCTAATTGTTTTTCTTTTTAGATGAAAGACATTAATGTATGCATTGTCTGCTAAACTAAGAGTTCAGCATTCTGAACTCTGCAGATTTAACTGCAGCATTGGCACTGGGTTTTGGGTTGCAGTTTGGGAGCTGAAAAAGGTTCACTGTCACTGTCTAGATCTAACTACTAAAAGCCAAGAAATGCACTGAACTGAAAACAAATGACCTCATTTTTAAAAACTGACAGAATAGTACAATATGCTCTAAAATAATCTTCTGTAAGGGGGGATGAAGGGGTCATACCAATATCATAAGATTGGTCATGCTGATAATTGCATTACTTCTAGTACACGTGTTGCCAAAACAAACACTATCCGTGCAAAAGCACAGTGATGCTCTACTTCATTATTCTACCTTTGTGCTTGAAAAATTCCAAGTCTTTGTGAGAAAACTAAAAGAAAAAGCTGCAGAATGTGTGTTTGTCCAGTATTTTGCAACTTTTTTTCTATCATAGCACTATCCTAATAAAATGTCAGTGTTTGCACGGCACACTGAGGTAGCAGCACAAACTGTAGGCAGAAACCACCAACTGAAGGGCACAGACTAGCCAAAATCTTATTGGGCAACAATTCAGGATAATGGGATCAAAAACCCATACAACCTAACTCTGAATACAGAAAATTGTTCATGGAGTGGTGTTCTGTAGGAAAGTAGACTATTAGCATAATACATGTATTGAAATCCATGTGCAAGGCTGTAAAGAACTCAAGGGATGATACAGCACACATTAACTGATCACTAATGAGTGCTTCAGTCCATATATATATATATATTTTTTTCCTTTTTAAAATAAATACTCAACAAAGGGGAAAAAGAACTAAACTTGATAGTTCATAATGTAACCTCATTTATCCTTTTTCTAGTTTCATTTCCAATCATACTCTGTAGCAATCTTTTTCTTGGGCTTGAACAACTCCATTTGTTCAACAAGTCTCCAAGGAACGTCCCTCTGTCATTCAAAATAACCCTTCCCCTCAGAACTGAACAAAAGGGCTCAGATGTTATATTCTGTATGAAATCCTCTGTAATTCCCTCCTCCGTCTTTCACCACCGCCATAATGTTGCGCCTCCAGTGTTCTCACACTTTGGTAAAGTGGGAAAACATTAGACCTGGGATGAAAAAACGCCCACTGCAGGTTGCATTATGCACATAACAAGCCATGAGGGCTCAGATTCTGTCCTAGTATCCCCATGGCTGGAGTAGTGCTTGGCATATGATTTTTTTTAAGTTGAATAACACCCATGAACATATTTCTTAATCTCCAGTTTTGACTTCTTTCCTTAGGACCTGAAGATGCACTACCCTACAGGTCAGTTCCCGGACTTGAATTTCTTTAGTTTAAACTGAGAAAAGTAGGGGGCAGAAGGCTTGGTATTGGACACTGAAAAATACTCTAGGTATACCACACCTCGCTTGATCCTACATCATCCATGAGTAGTAGAGTTATTTCTATTTTATGACAGAGCTACCTGAAGCTCAGAGACTAACTGGCCCAAAATCTGAAAGGTGGCAAAACTAGGACCAATATTCCTAGCCAGGTCCACAACCCTTGTTCTAATTGGCCAGGTTACAGTCATGTGACACGCATGACAGCACAACCGTGTTTTCATTGGTCGGGCTAAAGACACGTGACACAACAAGACTGAAAGGAAAGTACCGCGCAACTTCCTCAGGGTCAGCACCTGTCAGTCTACTCTTGGGGGCGGGCATTTGCACGCTGCCTGCTCTCCCTGGACGCTTAGGAGCCAGTGGCCTCGTTCCTAGCACCCGCGTCAGACGCCCAGCGCCCGCGCCCGCCCCTGCCCCGTGGCCCACCTGGTCGTGCAAAGCTGTGTCTCCCCCATCAGGTAACGGGGCAGCTGCTCCCGCAGCTGGATGCGGCCCCGCAGCGCCGCCTGACAGAAAGTGCCGTCCAGCAGAATCTGGTACGGCTCTCGGACACCAAAATTGTTCCGAAAGAAGCCAAGATGCTTCTTTGCGTGTTTCTGCCTCGTGATCTTCATTTCTGCTTTAGGCGAACCGAGGCCACTGGGCCGGGAAACAGCAGCACCACTTTACTCACGCTTTCAGTCAGGCGGCGCCGGCTTCTCCCGGAAATGAATTAACTTTGGCCCGGAAGTACACGCCCCGCTCTCCCGGGCTTGACCTCGCCTCTTATGTCAGTCCCAGGGAGGCCAGACTCTGACCATCGATTGGCTCGCGCTTTAAGAGGCGGGCTCTCGGGGGCGGAGCCTGAGCCTGCGCGGGAAAGCCGCTGGAGTGCGCGATTTCGTTCAGGGACCCGCCGTCTTGACCCAGATTCGTGTAGCTCTTTCACCTGGTACGTAGGAAAACGTTTTGAAAGACTAGCCATCAAAAAATAATCAGTGATCATGTTGAATTAACCTGAGTATGTTCTAGAACCTATCCAAAGCTATTTGACCCTGTATTATTTCCTTGAATGTTTGCTATTAAACAAGGCTATCAGAGGAGCCAATATTGGGGAGCCAGGGCTGGAGCAGTTTGCCCGGGTTTCTTTACTGTAAACGAGAGAAGCGCCAAATTTGGCCAAAACCCGTGGTTCGTTAGTGTCTGGATCCCAGGTCGCCTGCCTGAAGTTCGCACAACTTCAGGCAGTTGACCCCACTTGGAAGCCCAGCGTCAGGGAAGGGCCACGCTGCCTTGCAGCGCCTCCTCCTCTCCAGTCCGCCCCACGTCAGTGTTTCCTAAGAGCTCCCGGGACTGCATTTCCAAAGGTTCAAAATCCCTGAGTTTGCCTCCTGGGTCTGCTGCAACCTTTGGCCGCTCAGAGAAAGATGCGGGCAGCTTCCGCCCTGTCAAGCTGCCCCAGGTCTCTCTCCTCTTAAAAGACCCTTCTTAAAGCCATAATTTCTAACATGGAAAAACTACCCTGCAGGAATATCAAGAGGTAGAAAGCTAATGGAAGTTTTACAAATGACTTGGCCAATTTAAAAAATTACTACTGAATCCGAGAATTTCGAGCTCCCCAGTGATTGACTGCAGAGAATCTATGTTAAAACAAAATAAAGAAAAATAAAAACAACAAGGGGCCGGGGAGATGGCTCAGTAGAATAAGTGCTTCCCTGGCAAGCGCATGGGCCTGAGTTCAATCCTTGGTTCAGCTAAGAATAAAAAATAAACATGTTAAAAAAGAATGAAAAGTGTGGAATTTTGTATTTTTGTCCTTGCCCAGGATGTGTCCCAGATCTAGTTTTAGCTAAAGATCAAAAGAACCATCATAGAAAAACATGATTTACAATGTGATTGAACAGTATTGTTTGCCTTTGGATTTTTATTTCAATATATAGGTCATGAAATGGGAACTAAGCTCTTCTGTAATGTTAGCTCAGCTGAGTTCCAGGCATCATGTAGAAGGCTGCTTTTATTGTAGGCAGTTGAATTAGATAAAAATATTATAGGCAGTCAGATAGGGCCAGGCCCTCAAGGAGACAGTATGGAAGACAAGCTGACTTTGCAACTTGGAAGAGACAGACACTCCCATATGGGCCACACCTCAAGACCAAGACAAGAGGAAACACAGCTACATCCTTCCCTAAGGATGGGCATCAGGGATTGATATTCTAAATAGGTATCAATCACCTTGAAAGAGCCCAAATTGAGTCACTAACCCAACCCCCAATAGGAAGCGACCCTGTCCTGTGTTCATGCCCGCTTGCTACGTGAATTGCTTCCCCATTAGGTACTGGATTTAGTCAATTTTACCTGAGCAATGGTGCTTGTAATCTCATTGGTTGACCATGGTTTTGTCCCCCCTCATGCCCACCAAAGTGGGTTCCCATGTTCTCCACCACCTTAGACCTGCCTCACTGCATGGTTTTCCTCTATAAAAGTCCCTGGAAGAGACTCCTAGGGACAACCCGCCTGGGCCCCCCTCCAGTCCCTCTCTCAGAGGGACAATATTAACAAGAAGTTTTCTTGCCCTCAATAAATATATTCTGCTCATAACCTCCCTTTGTTCCTAAAATTCATTCTTCGGTTTTAGAGAACATGAGCTCATCCCAGATACTTTTCAGGTCGGGAGTTTCATTTTTCCTCTATATCATTTGGAGGTCATCCAAATGGTATAACCTGAAATCAGCTTTTCCCTTATATCACTTTCACTTAACTGAAATGTAAATTTAGGAGTTGGAAGCCATGAAAAATCATTGTAAATTTGGATTTGTGATCTTTGAATATAATTGCTCGTTATTTTCTGACTTAAATTCTCTATCCTTGCAGGCCAATCCCTGCTTGGATTATTCACCTATCTCTGACCAAAAAATGATCCCTTCCCCTTGCAAAGTAGCTAAAGGCTTTGTGCAATAGGCTGTCTACTTAGCTACTTTTCAATAGTAAGAAATATGTGTTACAGTTCTAGAAACTTAGTGCCATTTTAGCTTATTTTTCTTATTTTAATTTACTAAGGCTACAATTTTTTTTTCAAGTTTAACATACACAACAATGTCAATTTGCATACTTACCATGTGGAAATCTGGAGACTGATTATAATAGTAATAACTAAGTGTATTTATTTTTTTTTAATTTTTATGTATTTAGTACAGGGATCACAGGGTCTCATGACACAGATCAGACTCACAATGATCCTGTTTTTAGCCTCCCAAGCACTGGGATTACAGGCGCACACCACCATGCCCAGTCTCAATCACTGTCTCAGTGTACCCTGGGTGCAGGGCTGGCCTCTGTGTCTGCCTAAGCAGGTGCTTTAATCCACTGAGCATAACCAAGTTTAAGATTGCTACTACTGCAGTGTTTCTTAAAGTGTGAACCCAGGGCATGTAGAAAAAGATCTTAGTGCTCAGTTTTGATTCAGAACAAATACTGAGGGAGTATCCTAAAGTAGTCTACCCTAGGGCCTATGTTCTAAGACCCCCACCACAGTGGATGGCTGACTGAAATGTCCCAAAACCCATATATACTGTTTTTTCCTATGCATACATACATGCTGATGATAATGTTTAATTTTGTAAACAGCACAGAGATTAACAAGAATAATAATATTATAATAAAAGCTATAATAATGCACTCTAATAAGAATTATGTGAACTTGGGCTCTCAAAATATCTTATTGTACTATAGATCCGTGCAACCGCAACTCTCCTTACTGAGTAACTAATGGACAGGTAGTTTACACAGTATTTAGAGAGGTAGCAACATTTATTAAAATCGCCCTGGGCCCTGTTTATGCTCATTAGTGTTCCAGGGTGACCTGTTGCAGTAAAGCACACTGTTTATCCAGCATGACAGTTTCATTAAGTGGTCCACTTAATATATTTTTGTCCAGAGTCCAAACAACCTAGTAACAGCAAATCAATATTTGGTCATGACGAAGCCAAAAGTCAAATATTGCCATTATTGAATGAACTATTTGAATTTAAATTTATATTAAAATTTTTTAAAAATTATTATATCCTTATTAAAAATTTTAACAGGCACTGATAAATTTTTTTGACATTATAGTGCCTTAGTATTGCTGGCCATGAGATTCCCCCCCCCAGGTCATTTACAATGGACACTTGCTGTGCCAAATAGACATTCATATTCAACAGGGGCAGACAATTTATTTTATTTTTAATATTCCTCATTTTTTTATTTTATCTGGATTGAGTATAATTTATAATGTGATATTGTTGTACATGATTTTGAGGGTTTTTCTTCATGAAATTTTGATGAAGCCAAGTTTACTCGAGAATGATTTATTCTTGAAAGGTATGACTGATTCCCAAATAGTTTTTCATTAAAGATTCATGACCTAATGGAATTAAATAGGTAAACATTAAATGAAATTCATAAAGGATATTTTGTTTCATTTCATAAATGTACGTGAAGTTTTGTTAAATTGTGTAAACATTAGATAATTCATTGATGATATCTATTGAGATATTATTCTGCCTTATAAGCATAGTTAAATATTTATAAACATTTGTTGATATTCATTAGCTCAAAGTGAGTACCATGTTCTTTCTAAACTAGCTTGCTAACATGCTCTCCAATTAAATAATTTAGCTAGATAAATATGTATTTTAAAACAAAATAGGTAAACTACTTTGTATGGAGGTCCCTGTACTGACTATCTATTCCATCATAGATTACTTTACCTGTAAAGTGCCATGTATATAGAAGGTATTCTTAAGATTGGGTCATTTATTAATAAATAATTTTTGAGGGTTGGTGAGATAGCTTAGCAGACTAAGCACTTGCTTAGGCAAGCACAGGGTCCAAGGTTTTTATCCCTGGTATTGCATGCTGCGCTGGCCTGCCCCCAGGCATGCTAAGCCGGTGATGGAGTCCAGGCATGGTGATACACGCCTGTAATCCCAGCACTAGGGAGGCTGAAAACAGGTGGATCGCTACGAGTCTGAGCTGGGAAGTGTGACCCTGCACACACAAAAAATTAATAATAATAATTTTGTTTTCCAAATCATGAAAGTAATAAGTACTTGTACGTTTCTTTCATTGATGGAACAAAATACTGGACACCCAAATTTAAGGAAGGAAGAGTTTATTTAGCTCACAGTTAGTGGAGATTTCAGTCCATACTTGCTGGCTCCAAGACAGAATGGCATGGGGAAGAGGGCATCCCTTCATGGCAGCAGGAAACAGCAAAGAGCAAAAAGAGGAGCAGCAGCTGTGGCAGCTAGCAAGCCCTCTCTCTTCCTTATACTGTGTGTGGATGACCCACCTCCAAGCAGGTGTAGCACTTACACCCATATTTCCAGCATTGGATCATGAATTAATCACAAACTCTAGAAGCCTCTTCATGACTGCATGAGGCTTTGGGAGGACACCTAGACACAAACCATAACACTTGTCATAGGGCTGGAGAGATGGCTCAGTGGTCTAAAGCACCTACTTGGAACAAGCTTGGCAAAGCACTGGGACCGCGGTTCGATCCCCCAGCACCACATGCCAGCCAGCCGCGCCCCCTGGTGGGCTGAGCTGGCCACACACACACACACACACACACACACACACTAAATAAATGTTAAAAATAAAATAAAATAAAATAAAAAAACACTTGTCATAGCAAGGAAATAATAAAAACATGTTCATTCTGTCTCTGCTTACCTAGAAAGCACATGTTAACAAAGTACTGTATACCTTTCAGCAATGTTCCTATATTCCCATGTTTTTTAAAAGTATTTAGTACAGGGTCTACAGGGTCTCACTACTCAGATCAAACTCAGTGATCCTCCTCTTTTCAGCCTC